TGCATCTGATGCAACATCATCACACTTTTCGACAAGAATGTGTGGAGTACGGTATTTATGAATATTGTGATGCTAGTTTTTGAGTTTTAAACAATTGAGTGAAACCGGACATCTAGAAAACTGCATTCAAAAAGTCAGTGGCTTGGATGTTAAATAAAACGTGTCATGAGTATTTCAAATGCAAATGCAGATACTAGTATGTGTAGCAGTAGATGCAGGTACGTGGAATTAACACCTACAATTAATATAGCAGCTGTATACCAAGCAAACAACTGGGTGGAACATGCAAATTACATTTCCCTTGATGCATTGGTGGTAGTCTGGGGATTGTGGAGCCACAATTTAAAAATTCAATTTGAATCTGTCATGGGGTATGACGCAGGAGGATTGCAGGGTGAGAGTAATGTGGGATTGGGATGGGCCATGCTGCCTGTCCCCCCTCCAACAGGCGTTCAGTCAGTCAGATGTGTCCCTTATCTTTTCTTAGATTTCTCCCTAAGAAGATCGAGGGGACAACTCGCATCAGTGGGACAGGGGGCGTCTCCCTCTCCTATGCTGGTGGACCCCCCCCCCCTTCTGAACGGGGCGCTCTATGCATCCTACGCCAAGTTTCCCATGCCTCCCACAGGCATGGTGTAAGACCTCATTGCTCCTGCTTCACCAAGCCGCGCAGAGTTCCCCTACCTGTACCTCTGTGGTGGTGCTCCTCTCGCCCATTTCTTGTCAGCACAAGCACAGCCAACCAGAGCCCAGTTTAACAATATGCAGTTAAGGACGCAGTTGTGAACCAGGCAGTGTTTTGTGTGGGGCAGGTAGTGATACTACCTACGTGGTTGGGGGAGCTGCCTTTGAATCCCTTTTCATCTGCGCTTTCTGTAATGTTTGTGAGTCAATAAAGACAAACACTGTTGCAACACGTGTGGCCACGTCCAAGCTTTATTCCAGACTGCCCGTACTCCCAAAATCTACGGACTCCCCAGCACAATTGTCATTCATAACATACTACAATGAACTACTGACTCCCTAGCATAATTGTCATTCTTAATATATTACACTTTCTTCTCCAACTGCCGGCGTGGAGACCATGCCTGCTGGCCAATTCTCCTTGTGTGACCCTGGCTGTGGAGGTGGCTCAGAGGCCACTGGAAGGGGTGATTGGTATCCTTTGGGAGACAAGGACAAGAAGACTGATCCTGGTTTTAGGTTGGTCCTGTCCCATGCCTTCCTTTGGGGGAGCCGATACCCCATTGGGGCTACGCAAACCGTCGACTGGTCCCTAGTTTGGGATACTTGTTCAGTGCTACAGCCTCTTCCATGGTTCCCTGCCCCAATCCCGGTACTCATGCCTTTGTTAACGCAGGTTGCGCGGATTGGGAAGGCCACATTAGGTGGTCATTTGACCAGCACCAGAGCCTGCAAGTGCATCGGGTGCTGTGGGCAGAACATAGGCCCATCAACTTTATAGAATGGGTTTTCTTGGTTTGAGTGCTCAGCAACGAACCATGATCCTCGAGCAGATAGGCCAGTTTCTGGCTGCGCAGAAAGTCGCTCTGTGTGAGACATCCTGCAAGTCCACACTGCCCTTGGCAGGAGTGGTTTGGTCGAGCGGAATGCGGTACTGAGTCAGTGCATCTATACTACTCCAGCGGGGGACGAGTTAGATTAGCTGTGGAGAAGGCTTTGGGCACGTGACTGGTTCTTTGGTGGCCGGCTAGCTGATTTGGTGGACGGTTTAGTGGTTGCTGAGGATCAACGTATCAATTGAAGCAATCATACTTGTTGGCCCTTTCGACCAGCAGTTCAAACCAATAAGGCAATAAGTCCCCTGCTAAGGACCAGAATGAGCGAGGATCTAAGCGCTTGTGGTTTCCTTCTATGGGGCAGAAGAAGACTGGTAGCGGAAAGTACCAGAAGTGGTCCAAGAAATGTGGCCCTGGTGGTGGACATTCTGGCGCTTCTGGTGGTCAGGGAGGCTCAAAGTTCTTTGAAGGCTTAATCGGCTGCCTGGGCATGAATGGTGGTACGACTCCGGGTCCCTCTGA